GTCAACTTATTCTACCATACTAGATTATACCATTCTTGAGCATAATAATACTCTAATGAGAGTTAGTTGGCATGTAGTTGCAAAGTTGCTTATAGTCGATTGATTAAGGGGACCATCAAAATAAAATGTAACCATATAAAACATTGCATTTTTTTCAGTTTTTCATCAATTAATTTACATTAGCTCCACAGGAAACACTCAAATAACACTCAACATCTAACCACTCACAAGCTGTACTAAGATACTGTGCAGATCTTAAATAAACAATGTCAAGATATGATACAGTCCATTATACTATAAATTTAGTAGATTTAATATGGTGTTCATTGTGTGTTATAAATAATCATACTCTTAAACTTATAACCACAAATACGTAAGTATTATAATTGTTGTTATGATTATTCATGAGTTGATCTAACATATTATACGTTTTTTTTATAATGTATTATGCATTCATTATAATGCGTTAAGTATACCCTTATAATGTATTATAAATACGGGCTTCATAGAAAGTGTTACCAAACTTCCTTTTGGAGCCTTCATTTTTAAGAGTGAAGAATCAAAATAGTTAATCAGAATCATGACAGTTTTGAAGACCTGTGTGATTTTTAGATGCATCCCGCTTAATCAGATATTTGTGTAAAGCTGTTTGTAAAATCCAGTCATATGATGCAATTTCATTTTTTCCTTTCTCTTTGGAGTGTTACAAGCTCTTTGTGCATAAAGAAGATCTGTAAAGTTGCAAAGACTAAAGTCTCAAATCCAAAGAGAGATTCTTTATAAAAGTTAAGAGTCAGCCACACCTACCTAAAACTGCTCGTTCTAACACGCCCCCACATACCTACGTCACTATCTGGGAAGATTTGCATAACGCCGCCCAAATGTTCATGCAAAGAAAGAAGGAGTAACTTTTATTCTTGCTGTAGTATTGTTGCTGCCGCCGCCATGTCGTGTATGCGCTGTGTGTTTCGTTGTGAAAGCGAAACTACTTTGTTTGGCTTTCCAAAAATGGACACGACTAGAAATCAGTGGTTAAGTTGTATTTACAACACTGTTCCAGAACACTTCAACCCAAATATTCAAATGTGTGCAGCACATTTTATGGAGGACTGTTTCCTGATCCTGGTAGACTACAATGCCGGCTGTTCTGACTCACAGACTGTAAGTATGTTTTTTATATTTAAAGCGAGTTTTTTGGGCAGTGTAGAGTAGGGCTTGTTGTTTGTCATTTCTCCGATCACAAATGCAGACATGGTTTTATGTTTGTGCGGCGCAACGCAACGCATAAAAAGACAGTAGAAGTAATTATAATCCATAGTTATATCCCCACTGGATGCAACGAATGCCTCGTTTATAATGGGTTTTCATGTTTTTGAATCATCGCTCCGGCCTGACAGGGCATCATCACAGTATGTGGGGGGCGTAACATTTCCGTCACACGGCTGAGACAATAATGTACAGTATGATGAAAATAATGTGTTTTTTTTTTACCTTAAACCGCATAAACACATTTCATTACACCAAATACACAAAATAATGTTCTTTTTAGTAACATCGTTTTTTTTGTAATAAGCTTAAGATGTTAAAACAAACATATGTATGTTTTGTTTGCCTGATGGTTGAATTGACATTTTCAGTTTCTCCATTAAAGACCTGCTCTGAATGGCTTTTGTTTAGTTTACTCAGCACTTAAATATGCACATGAGCAGCTTTTATTATGTTTTTGTGTTTCACCCTCAGATACTTTTCCTCACACACACACACGCGCACACAC